GGAAATTTAGTATTGATTCTAAGGACCAGTTCCACAGCTGTGGTCCCTTTGTTATAAGGTATTATGAGACCTTTGAGGTAACAGTGGGAAGGTTTGCAGACAAGAGCAGGACCAGCATGGCTTCAGTGGTGTGCACAGTTTATGGCACCCATATTTTGCCTTAAACTGTCTTTTTTTAAAGACTGCCATACCAAGTGGCACCATGGCTCAAGTGGTAGAATGCTCGCCTTGAGCTGAAGAGCTCAGGGACAGCACTCAGACCCTGAGTCAAGCCCCCCCTCCCCCACGCACACGCACACGCACACGCACACAGACTGCCATACCTTAGGGTTAAGTCTTTAATTGTGCCATGGATATGAATATTGTTATAAATCAAGGTCTTTGATGAACTTATACAGAGTAATAGTATTGAAGCTCCTCCAGAGATTTCTTAAGGAAGACAGTTAGGATTGCAAAACTTACAAACCAGGATATAGTAAAGCCACCAGCACAACCATGTTCACTGCAGCCATATTCACCACAGCCAAGGTATGGAATCAGCCTAGATGCTCCTCAGTGGATGAATGGATCAAGAAAATGTGGTGTGTGTGTGTGTGTGAACACAATAGAATTTTACTTAATCCTTTAGAAAGGATGATATTGTACCATTTGTAAAGAAATGGAAAGACCTGGAAAAAACTTTGTTGAGTGAAGTCAGCCATACCCAGAGAGATGAAGGATCTGTGTTTGCCCTTACGTGTGGAAGCTGGATCATGATCACAAACTCAATACACTGGGTGGTATGCAGGTGTGTACACACACATTAACTGAAACATGGTAGATTCAAGGGAGATCTTAAATAGTGTTATTTCTTAGAAAGTCAAATTGCTACAAAGTAAACGCCAGGAAGCAAGTACTTGAAAGGGCTGGGTGGAGTCAAAGGGAAAGGAGTTAAGGAAAGAACAGGAGAAGCAGGGGAAATTGCAAACAAGAATCAAATGTATGTCCAGCAAAATTAGGAAGAGGTAGATAGGAGAGGGATGGTTGAGAATGTTGAAAGGGGTGGCATTGATCAAGATATATTGTCTTCATAAAGTACTTTGTTAAATGCCATCTCCTTTTTACAACTACTTAAAGATAATAATAAAAAGAGGATAAAAAAGAGGGAAAGAAGCCTCACATTCTCTGCCCAATTGCAGTATGTTGACTGCAGAGCCAGGTCATCTGTCCAAAGAACAGAACTCAGGCAGATAGTCCCTTGTATAATTGTGTAGGAGGACATTTCATCACTGACATGGTATTGACAGTTAAGGTCCATTTACTTTACCATCTTTATAGAAGCAGTGTGCATCTACTGGTCTCCTTATATAAACACAGATCTCTTGGGTGGTGTGCAAATGTTTTACCAGGTAAACTGAACTTCCCCAAGTGAAATGTATGTAGCCTTTTTTTTTTTTTACACATAACTGAGCAAACAATATAAATCCAGTGTTGGTATGTAAGTTTATAAATTGATTAGGTTTTTGTTATATGTGGGTTTTCTCTTCGAATGACATACAGTTTTCATATAGGTAGTGTGATGAAAAATATTAATTTTTTATTATAATTACATTATAATCATACATAACATAAAATTTTTAATAATACAATTATCATTCTACATGTGTAGAGGAGTTACAGTTACATAAGTCAGTTAAAGAGTTTGGTTCTTTTTGGATGATGTCACCCCTTCCCTCGCTCTCTTGCAGTTTTTCCCTCCCATCCCCACTTACAAGTTGTGTAGTTCATTTTTAACATAGCGAGCACCACAGTTGGATTTGTTCAGTCTTTGCCCTTCCATTTCTGCACCCCCCCATATGTCCAAAAGACATAAACTAGCAAACAAGAAAAAAGAAAAAATAACAAAAACAACTGAAGAAAAAAAAGTCTTGTTTATGTTTCCTAGAATTCATTTTCATGAGTATTATTTTATATGATCAGAGGGAGAAAAATATTAAAAAATAAACAGTATTTGAAGACTATCATATGTAAAAACAAAAACAAAATTATGTCACTGTTTCCCTTATATCCAAGTGTTAATTTCAGTTGGTTCACAGATTGCTTGTAGCATCCGCAAGCTGAAAGTTTCCTATTATAATCTTTTTTTCCATATAAATATTATACCAACTTTAACAATCTTGACTATTATATTAGTAATGCTTATAATTATATAGGACTGCCTTTTTCAGGAGAAAATAGGATTTTTGAACAGCAAATCTGTTTGCAAATTTTAAAAGATGTTTTATTAGAATAAGTTTTAAGAGGAAATTTTTTTTGTAATACATTAAGGTGCTTTGTAGTGATAGTACAAAAATTAAGAATAATTGACATTTTCACCATGTTTTATAGTCCTTGCTCTTTTAAGAGACAGTCAACAGTGCCACCATCAGATCCAACAGTCAGGCTTTCTTACTCTAAGTGCTTCTTGTCCCCAAAACACAAACCAACAAAACCCGTCCTTCAAGAATGCCGGTAAACCACAAATGCTTAGAAATGGCATAATCAGGCTGCCTTTATTTTATGACAAATTCAAATTTAAATTATCCTCCAGTGTCCCCATACTTCGCTCACTTTAGTCTTCCGAAAACATCCTGTCTAGGTAGCATTAGATTGATGTCTATTTATTATTGTCATTTTTAACTTTAATAGCTAATCTCAAAAAAAAAAGAATATGAACACAAAGCATCTTGGTCTAATAACATCTCTAATGTACATTTTGAGGACAATTTTTCATTATACCTTTTCTTTCCTATTTAGTTTCAAATTGTGACTTAAAAAGTGTAAGTTTCCAAGTGAATTTAATTATGATGAGATTAGAATTTATATTAAAGCATAAAATTTCTCTTTCATGGCCTGATACTTACAAGATACGGTGTATTTATTTTTGAATGCAAAGAAACCGGGTCCCATCTTCCTGGTGACATCAAACAGTCCTCTGATATGCTAATGAGCGGGGGGGGGCACATATACAGGCTGTACTTGGCCTCCTTCCAAGTCTCAGAGAAAATGATGTGTAAAGAACCGAGTTTGCAGCATCGTATCTTAGGATGGCAGTTGATGTTGGCACAGTGCAGTCACAAACACTTCCTATCCAAACAGGATGTGAGAGGCTGTCAGATTTACCAAGGTCTTGATTGGCTTTTTAAATTACCATCTGACTGGTCAGTTCTTACTTTGTCTATAGGATACAGTGTTACTGGTATGGTAGCTATTGAAATGGAAAACAAATTCATTTCTATAAATGTACTAAATATAGATTCGCCAAAGATTATTGGCATGCCTTATAAAGATGTATTTTTGCTACATTGCCTGTGTGTGAGGCAGTGGCTAATGGTCTTTTTGCTAAGTGTGAAGTAGATTTCCTAGAACTGTTTCCTTTCTGCCCACCCTCCTCTGGTCACAGATGTGAAACCTGAGTGAATGGTACCTTTGAATTTTCTCAAATATAGTTTCTCCATATTCAGTTGTGTAAAATCATACCATTTTGACTTCTCAATATGCCATGTTTCCATGATAAAAGGTATTAAAGAGCATGTTTAAAGTCTGACATCTTGTATAATATTGTGGAAATCTTTTAATGCAGTATTTATTTGATTATTTATAAATGTTGCTAGATATGTTATTAATTGCGTTTTTGCTTTTTTTTTTTTTTTGCCAGTCCTGAGGCTTGACTTCAAGGCCTGAGTGCTGTCCCTGAGCTTCTTTTGCTCAAGGTTAGCCCTGAACCACTTGAGCCACAATGCCACTTCTTGGTCTTTTCTGAATAGTTTATTGGAGATAAGAGTCTCAGACTTTTGCGTCTGGGCTGGCTTTAAACTGTGATCCTCAGATCTCAGCTTCCCAAGTAGCTAGGATTACAGACATGAACCACCAGTGCCCAGCTGGCGTTTTTGCTTTTGAAAAATGATTTTTACATAAAGAATATGGCCTATGAACTTTGTTCTTGTACATTGTTAGTGTAATCTAGCAGGTTTAATATTGAAAGATGGGTGTAAATATGAGTCTGGTTCTGCAGCTGTTTCAGTAATTTCCCTCCTAAGGATCATGGCCTTTAGTCTCCTAAGGAGTAGCCTGCTAAAGCCCTCTGCTTTTCACCCCAGCACTCCTCCAGGATTCTGCTTCTGTGAAGTTAGTCCTTCATTCCAGGCAAAGTGCAATATTGCCTTTCAGTGTACAAGTTTTCAGGAATATCATGAAGCCTTTTCATAAAAATGCCTTTATATTTTTAGTAAATTATTATATTTCATATCAGCAGGAGCTGATTTAAAAGGAATTCTTTACTATAGTCTGCCAGGAGAGCATGTCTTTTAATGAATGTAATTAATGTAATGTAATGAATGTAGAATTTCTAGATTTTTTCTTTTTGGCTTTCTTTTCCATTCCCTCCCTCCCTCCCTCATTCCCTCCCCCCTTCTCTCTCTCTCTCTCTCTCTCTCTCTCTCTCTCTCTCTCTCCTTCTCTCTCTCTCTCTTCCCCCTCCCTCCCCTTCTCTTCCTTCCTTTCATGCTGAGTCTGGATACCTACTGAGCTTTTTTTTTTCTTCTCAAGGCTGGTGCTCTACCATTTGAGCCACAGCTCTGTTTCTGGCTTTTTGGTGGCTAGTTGGAGGTACTTTCATGGATTTTTCTGCCTGGGCTGGTTTGGAACCAGACCTCAAATCTCAATCTCCTGAGTAGCTAGGATTACAGGTGTAAACCACTGGCTGCTGATCGCTGGCTTTTGTTAAAGTGAAATCTAATAATTTCTTCTTGGAAAGTGGTTTTATTTAGATGGACACTACAGAGAGGTAGTGTTATGTATCTTTCACCAAACTGAGGGTGAAACTTGTGAAATCACAGGAATCATGTCAGTGTAGAAAATGATAGACTGTTGATCATAAGTTGTTAAAAGTAGGCATGGTTCTCTGACTTTGGGACATTTGCCTGACAGAATCCAGTCTTAAATTTTAATTCTCATAATGTTTATTTTGCTTTTTTCAAAAGCACTTTAAGAAACAGAAGAGGCTGATTCCTGAGAGAACTGTCTGGAAATACTTTGTGCAGCTGTGCAGTGCACTGGAACACATGCATTCTCGGAGAGTCATGCACAGAGGTAAGGAGTGTCAGCAAGGACTTTGAGTTAGTATCGCTTTCCATCACACCAGTCCTTAAGAAACTTGTCAATAATGTCTTTTACCATGGCGGGATATCTCCACATTAGAATTTCATTAGAACCATAAACCTGTAAGTACAGCTCACTGTTTTTTTTTAATAAGTTTTTTATTGTGAAAATACTGTACAGAAGGGTCACGATTACATGAGCAAGGTAATGAGTACATTTCTTACCAAGCATTGTTGCCTCCTCCTTTGTTTTTCTCCTACCATCCCTGCCCTCCCATCTCCACGACTACACTTCCTTAAGTCAGAACGGACACAGCCTTGTTCTTGACTTCAAGCTTCTGTTGTAAAGAAAAGAAAGTTGTGCAAAAGCATTGAATCTGCAACCAGGAAAAAGGTGGGGTTTGGTGATATTTTTCTCTTTTTTTTTCCTCCTTGGGATGAATACCGCACACTTTGACCACTTAGAATCGAATCTCCAGCATTAGGTCTTAATCATATTCTGAGTCCCTGCCAGGTGGTTGGTAGATCATTATACGACGGGTCCACTGCCGGCTGGGGGGGGCCTGTTAAGACTTTTAAGCAAATTTCTTAAAGCAATCTAAATTAAAAATATGTACAATCGTGTTAAGTCATAAAGTTCAAAATTGCTTAAAAGTAGCACATACACTTTGTGCATTGAATTTCCTAAGAAGCTATTTGAAAACACATATTTATTTTTGTTGGTTGTGGGGCTTGAACTCTGGGCTTGGGTGCTGTTCCTCAGCCCTTCAGCTCAAGACTAGCGCTCTCCCACTTGAGCCACTGCGCCACTTCTGGTTTTGTGAGTGTCTGTTGGAGATAAGAGTCTCACAGACTTTCCTCTTCGGGCTGGCTTTGAACCACTATCCTCAGATCTCAGCCTCCTGAGTAGCTAGGGTTACAGGCATGAGCCACCAGGTGTACGGCTTTGAAAACACAATATTTTTTTTTTTTTTGGGTCCGGTCGTGGGGCCTGAACTCTGGGCCTGGGCGCTGTCCCTCAGCTCTTCAGCTCAAGGCTAGCGCTCTACCACTTGAGCCGGCTTTTTTCTTTTTGCTTATGTGGTGCTGAGGAATTGAACCCAGGGCCTCAGGCATGCAAGGCAAGCGCTCTACCACTGAGCCATCTTCCCAGCCCCTGAAAACACAATACTTTTTAAGTGGGATTAAGAACACCCTTTGTCATGTCTCTTTAGATGAATCTCTATGAGAGGATTGAGAATTGATGTAATTATTCAAACTGAAGTAATTGGTTTAAAATTCAGACTTTAATGTTAATGCTGCTTGTACAATCCTACTATGAAATGAAGTTTATCGTTCCTGCGGTTGCATGATCTTTCACCTGTGTCTTTGTTTATTCACAGACATAAAACCAGCTAACGTGTTCATCACAGCCACTGGGGTGGTGAAGCTGGGAGATCTCGGGCTCGGTCGGTTTTTCAGCTCCAAAACCACAGCTGCGCATTCTTTAGGTGAGAACCGTGGCGTACTTCATTTAGGACCTAAAAAAAAAAATATGTTGGTCATAGTTACAAAGATACATACAATCCCATATAGTCTTAATAAAGCCATTAAAACGAACGATGATGTCCTGAGTGGAGCCCCACAGATAAGATGGTGCTTGGGCACTCCGGCAGGCACTAGTTTAAACAGAAAATGGTGGCCAGTCTGGTTTTTACTGTTGCCGTGGAGCCTTCTTTCTGTCCACTTGTAGAGGTAGAACAGCGTGATGACGAGAGAATGTCTTCTGAACACCCACCAGTACTAGACTATAGTGAGGGTTTGTAATGTTTGCTATTAAATCAACATGATTATGGTTACTGTAGACCAGAGAACCTAATTTTGTGAAATTCTAAATAAATGAGATATATATTAGTTTATAAAGAAACGTTAAGTTTTTCTTAAAATAAGGTCTGACATAGAGATGTTTTCAGGAATTTAATTTACAATGCAAAGATATATTTTTACATTGGTTTCTCATATATATATATATATGCACTATATATATTATATATGAACTATAGAGAGAAAGTACAGAAATCAAATTAAATAGTAGTACTAAGTTCTTATAATTCATTAACTGGAATATGTACTTCTAGAATATTATTAACAATCTTCAAGAAATTGGCAAGTCTTTGGAATTTTTCTATTGTCTTGATTTTGCATTTTTATATCATTTGAATTCATGATAGACAAATCAACACATAGTGAAATCTGTAGTTCTGCCATAACTTTTGCAACAGATAAAGTAGTACAGCTGATCATTTTCCAGTTTTTAAAACTAGTTCTGAAAAGTATGACAACATAGCATAGTAATAATTCTTCAATGCACGGGTTAAAAGCTACCATTGTTAATCTGATGAGGGCTGAATAGTCAAACTGGCAGATCCTCACAGTGGGAAAAGAACCCATCTATTTATTTATTATTTGTATTGGCTCCTTGTTAACACCACATGATAGCTTACAGTATGTCTACTTTGCATTTCACTGCCTTAATTCATAATTACATAATAGCATGGGCAAAGAAAGAACCCTCTTTTTGTTCTAGTATTCTTTAATCCATTCTGCATATTTCTATTACATCCTTCTTGATTATGTAACCTTTCTCTAAGTCATTGGTAGTTCCTTGTTTCCTGAAGAACTTTGTGACAATTTGTTGGCCTAGCCTCCAGGCCTCTGAAGTTTGGTCCTCTAATGTTATATTCACACTGCACTTGTACTGGCCATTCCTCCCCATCTCATTATGTTTTTCCTTTTGCTTTGTCTCATCCTGAGAATAGCGTGGTGTTCTGAACAGGAGGCAGCACACCTGAATTTGTGTGCATATTGCTCTCTAAGACCTTGATAAGTCATTTATTAACTTTCTCAAACTCAGCTGCTAGATTTGTGAAAATAGAAATATGGTAAATAACCATCCTATGTTTATCTCTTAATCCTTAATTGATCTTTAACAAGTCCCTAACTTATGAGTGTGAAAATGTAATCTAATGCACTGTATTAATGTTAAGTTAGTGTTGTCGTGGTGCGGCAGCTACAGGAAGAGGAGATGAGGAGGGCTGTCCCTCTGCCACTTACTCATCCTGCTAAAACACCTGAATTGATTCGCTCAAAGGTCAGCTTCACCACCTGTGTTAACCAGATGCTGTTCTAGGGAGACAGGGGAGAGAGCTTGAGCAAGAGAGGTCTCTTTCTTCAGGGAGCTGACCTTGTGTGGGAAAAAATAGATAATTGTGAAGCAAATAGAGAAATAAGATGATTTGTTAGCATGCTAGAGAATGACTAGTAGGGGAACTACTTCAGCAGGGGTGAGCTGGGGCAGGCCTCTGAGGAAGTGGTGTTTGAACCGAGATCTAAAGGGTCAAAAGATGTGGCTGTAAAATGGCCTGGAATGTGAGAGGTGTCTCAGGATGACTGATGGATAGCTTTGCCTGCTTGCGGAAGGTTTTCTGGAACAGCTAAAAGGAGAGAGAGGCAGGGCTAGGTTTAAGAGGAATTCACATTGTGTTCCTAGGGTCGTTGGCAAGCTTTGACAAGGTTTTAATGAAGGGAGTTAACGGGATGTAAATTGAAGGCAGCCAGGAACTTTCATCAGCCTTGGAGGTTAAAAAGGCCCCGAATTGACCACCGCTTTCAGGTTCTTTTGTGTCCACTTGTTGTCTGTTTCTTTCGGTGTTCTGGCATTCCGCAGAATAGAAGGTTTGTCCGGGCTGTGATCTGTGATTCTTGTTCTTTGTTTTCTGTGCTCTCATCTTCCCTTGGATAGGAGGCGTGACTAAGGAGATTCCTGTAGGTATTTTATGTATTCCATATGAATTTTGCCTTATTTTCTTTCATATTCGTTGTCAGACTTGCTACCTGAATCATCTTCTTCAGAATTACGATGCTTTCCCTTGAAATGAGATTTCTGAGCCTGGCTCAGTGACTTTTACATTTCTTCAAGATAAGCCCCAACAGTGTGGTGGCCCCACAAGAACATTGGCTTGTATAACAGAAGCAGAAATCTCACACAACTGTTTTCATTCTGAGGTCCACTCTGCTTTATTTCATTTCCCTAAAAACAGTAAGTTGATGTCACAATTCAATAATGAATGCATGACCTGCAATTTGGAAAGCATTGATCTAGGCCTATGGTGCTTTTATGCTGTTTATTTCTTACTTCCCATCCTATTTCTAAGCATTCTTTAGTTCAAGTGTAGATTGTTTGTTGGTCAAACATACCTCAGTCACGTAGTGCTCCCTGGGTTCTGCAGGTGGTTGATGATGTCTGTTGTAGTTCTTTGCAGTCTGCAGATCATTCAACTCCTAAGATCTGTACAGATGTGACTCTGCAAGTGACTAGAGCTGAGGTGGTGAAGTTTAGAGAGGTAAATGGGCTGTAGAGCAGGAGGAGAGAGAGAAGGATTGTGGCTCTCTAGTATGAGTTCGCTATCTCACACGTTTTAGTTTTCCACTTGATCAGTACCTTGTGGCATTTTTCTCATTTGTTTAACTCAGAGGTCAGTTTCACTGCCTGTGTTACCCAGCTGTTGCTCTAGGTAGATGAGGAAGGTAGCCTGAGCAAGACAGCATTCTTTCTTCAGGGAGCTGACCTTGTGTGGGAGGAACTGGTTAAATGTGAAGCAGCACAAAGCTATGTTGATTTGTTAGCATGCTAGAGAATGATTAGTTCTCTTAACTACTTCCTTTAACTTTTCTGATTAGTTATTCCATCTGGAATAATCTTATTCTTCTCTTCTCATATTGCTTAGCAGCTAACATAGGAAAGTATATATTTTCTTTCTGTATTTGAAAGCTCTTGCTGCTTCAAGATTTGAAAAATAAAACAAGATGAAAAATAGCAGCAAGACGTGTAGGGTACAGAAATCTGCTATCATGCCATTCCGTCCACCAGCACCTTTGACTGAAGAAGTAACTCTTCTAACTAGAAACTAATCCTATGGAATTGGAACACAGCATTTGTATTGTCATAAACAGCAGAATATACTTTTGGTGCATTTCTGTTTCGTACCCACTTTCAAGTCCCTTTGAATATATGTAAATATTCCAACTCAGATGCAGCTTGCTAAGAGATCAAATATTTTCCTACTTTGACTATTTCAGCATAAAATGACAGTTTTATATAACCCAAATGTGCATCATGATTTCTAGTCAAATCATATCAGACTCTATTTCCAATCATAATGACACGTGAATCTACTATTGCAACTAAGTATCAACAATATCAGTAGTGATGGTGAGTATGTGTATAGTACTTTACAGTTTCTATGCAGTTTCCTGCTGTCAGTGTTGTCTTACAGGTAGATACTGGAGACTGGGAAATGAGGATCATTCTGTTCAGTACTTTGCATGACCCTCCACTCCCAGTCCATCTCCAGAGTTCCTGATCCCTCTCCTCTTGTCATCTCCCTCTCCCCTACTTAGGCCTCACAAACTTCTAACAATCTGTGTAGCTTTTACTGCATACTTGTTGTCTGCATGTTCCGACTAAGACAACCTTCATGACAAAAATCTTTGTGATGTTAGTTCCCTGGTATAATTCAGATGCCAAAAGGGGCATACACAGCTCAATTAATAAATATTTATTTGAATCAATGGAGCTTAAAGACAGGATACCATAAAGGATAAATTTATTTATATATTTGTTATAAAGGATAAATTTAAATGTTAAGTATGAGTGAAATTATATTGCAGAACAAAATACCAACAAACCAAAAACAAAAGCCCATTGCTCGTCAGGAAAGTATCTCTTGTCACCCAGAGTCATTTGTGGGCCTGTGTTGATTTTCAGGAGAGCAGTCCTCCCTCCCGAGGGTGAGCTGGCATTTCAGGCATCACCTTTTTGTGCTTCCATGAGGGGAAGGTTGCACAGAATCGCTTACTGGCTCTTAACTAAACTGCTTGAATGTAACATCGACTTCTAGTCCTGCTTCTTCCTCTACATCTAGCAGTGCCTGTCTCTCTGGGGGTGGGGAGATGTCATTCTCTCATCTGTTCAGGGAGAAATGAAAGAGTACTGTTCATGCCCAGAAAGAAAGGAAAACTACCTCATTTCAGATTGATTGGTTGATTGATTTAGTATTCTTTGTGTCCTTTCCCCTCCTTTTGTGGAATATTTGTAACTAGTACAACCAAGAATAATCTAAACTGTCTTTACGGGATGAAGGGTAGGTCTTAGGAAGTGGAAGCCAGGTGAAGTCTTAGAGAGTTTGGGAATTGGGAAATTCTGGGTGCAGAGATTACCTTTAAATCCAGAATGATTAATGAGATTTCTTTTTTCTGGATTAGTATATTCACAGCAGTACCACATGATAAAATCTGTATGTCTGTCAACTTAAAATATTTTAACTAAACATTTTTACTCTCCTAGTTTCAAACACTAACTTTAGACTAAATGCCACCTATTGTCTTCACTGCTTTCTATTTTGTATCCCTAATTCAGTAGACTTGGTAGTGTGATTACTTAAGAATTGTA